CCCCCGCTGCTGCGGCCAGCGCGAGGCCAACTGTGCGCTCGCATGTCCTCTTGCGCGCGCAGCTACCTGTTCTGTGGCAATGTGGGCGGGGCCTTCCTTCTCCAATGGGCGAGCCAAGAAGATTTCGCTGGCCTGCGACGGTGAACGCGCCAACTCGCAGGCCAGGCGCGGTCGAGGCAAGCTTCTCGGAGGCGAACACCCCTGCACAGGGGCGCCACCTTCGCCAAGCGACGCGGCTGAGGTCTGCAAGACACTGCAGGGCGCTGGACGACGGCGGGGGGCGAAAGCGGCAGGAGGCGCCACCCCGGGCGCCAGGCGCCAGCTCTTGCTCCAGCACCGTCTTCTTGGCGGTGCCGGGTGCCAGGCGCACCGGCTTCTGCTCCAACGCCGCCCCATTGGCGGTGCTGGGTACCGGGTGCACACGTCGGATATTTTGCATGCCGCAAGCCAACCCGCCGTCGCCAAGCGAAGCGGCTGAGGTCCGCAAGACTTTGCACGACGCTGGATAGCGGCGGGGGGCGAAAGTGGCAGGAGGCGCCACCCCGTCCGCTCCAACGCTCACCCTTCAGGCCTCGGTTAGCAGCGGGGCGGCTTGCTCCCAGTTGGGTCCGCCTGCATGTTGCTCTGTCGCTTAGCCCTTTTTGGCTCAGTCTTTTTCCCCCTGCACGCGGGGGCATCTTTACGGCTGGCTGCCCAAATTTCTCGGCTTCTCCCTACAGTCTGCTGCGTCGGCCGCCATCTGCACGCGGCACGACATTGCGGTGAATCTCTCCTGTCCAGCGCCGCCGCCAGCGCCGGTAGAGCTGCATTGCCCCGAGCTGCGGGCCCCGCCTGTCCACGTGGAGTGCGCGGCGAGCGGCCCTGGTCTCATTGAGTATCTGGCGTACGGCATCGCGGTGATTGGCATCTTCGTCGCGGGCTGGGTCTGTGGGGCCCTCCTCGCGGTGCCGACCTGGTTGCGCGCGAAACGACGCGCTGTTCGAGCCGAGCAGGAGACCCCGGCGGCGGCGACGCCCGCCCACGATCACGACTTGCAGGATCTCGCCCAGAAGCAGTTGGCCTTGATCCACGCGCGTCGCCATGGCGAGAGCAGGTGATGTGCTCCTCCTCAAGCATAATGTACCTGGGGCGGACCTCTGGCACGAGAGGATTGCGCTGGCGGTTCACCCCACCGACGCAGGCAACTACTTCCTGCTCACGCCTGATGGGGATGCGCACGTGGAGGGCTGCCCCCCCGCCTTAGCAGACGTTGAGAGGATCCGCGAGACGGTGGGCCTTGGGGGCGCACCCACGGCCTTCAGGGGGCCAACATCTACCGCTCCAGGGCCCCCCTTGCCATCGAGGAGCTGCGCCAGCATTTCATCGATGCGGCCACGGCGCTCGGACTGCCAGCCCCCGCCGACGGTCTCCGGGTGCGACGTGTCGGAGGTGAAGATATCGTTCCTCGCGCTGGACCTCCGCCGCCACAGGGGCCCGCCGATCCCCGACGCCCCGGCCAGGGGGCCCAGGCGGCGGGCTTCGCTGCCCCCGCCCCACGGGAGGACCTGGTCTGGGTCGCGGCTGAGGGCGCCGAGGAGCTGCCGAAGGGCACGGAGATGGAGCCGACGGCCGACGCCATCTCAGCGGGAGGTCGCGCCATCATGCCGCGGATGCTGGCGGGTCGAGGCGCGTCGGCTTCAGCGAGGGCGTGCAGAGGCAGAATGACGCCCTGCACGCCGGCGGCCTCGACCTGCAGGGCCCACGCACGGCCGCCTGGTTCTGCAGGCACATCGCGGAGAACGGCCCGACACCCCAAGCAGCGCACGAGGCCTGGCTTCGCAAGGGCAGGCTGCACGACGGGGGAGGCCATCCACGAGCACTTCGCCTTGTCGCAGGTGCTTGCTGCCGCGGTCTGCCAATATCAGCCCAACGCGCCAGCGCTGAAGTGCATGGACCTCGTCATCACGAGGCCCCAGCTGATCAAGCCAGCCTACGCGCAGTCGGCATCTGCACCCGACTTCTCGGGGGCCGCCCACTTCACGGGGTGGGGGCCCGCCACAGCCCCCGCCTCAGCGGCGGCCGAGCTGGCGGCGCATGTGGCTACAAAGTTCAGGGGCGAGGCCGCCATCCTCAAGGAGTCTCGGAAGGCTGCCGAGGAGCGGCGCACCAAGCAGGGCAAGGAAAAAGGTCGAGGTGGCAGAGGCAGAAGTGGAAGAGGAGGGCTCGCCCTGGCCGACGGGGAGCGGGGCGAATGACTCCGCCGCCTTCTGGCGCACGGACCTGGCCCTCCCGCGCTGCCTCACCCAAGGGCCCCACCTCGGCAGGTTTTGAGAGGCACGTGGATGCTAGTCGCCAGCGTGACCTATTTCCACTGCCGGCTGTTGAGGTGGACGAGCGCCCTAACCCGCGCCTGTCCTCGACCGCGTTCAAGCGTGCGTCGACGAGGCGAGCGAGACAGCTACTCGCCAATGGGGTCATTGACACGCTCAACGACTTGTCCTCCCCGGCTGCCATCTCTTCTTTTCGACCGACGGGCGTGCACCACGCGGCCCATGGTCAAAGTTTGTCTACGTCGGCGGCAAGGCCTTCTTGCCCATCCTTGTCAAAAGACAGCGAAGCCCTGAGGGCGCTTTGCGGAATGGAGTTTTTATATGCTGGTGGGGACTCCACTTGCAGCGTAGAGCCGCATGATCGAGGCGGGGTCTCGATGCCAGCTGTGGGAGCTTCGCCTCCGTGGCTGACGGATGTCATCGACGATTCTGGCAGAGGTGCAATCGACGGCGACGCCACCGCAATGCTCCGCTCGCCTGTCGAGATGGGAGCCATCATGGACCAGCAGGCATCTATTAAGCCCTACATGGACGCGAGGCTCAAACGGGATCGGCCTCTGCGCTACCAGTTCGTCCGCGACCTGTTCGAGTCTAACCTCGTGGATTTTGGGGCGGAGGCGATCGAGACCGTGCATCCCTTCTTCGCGCGCAAGAAATCTGGGAAGCAGCGGCTGGCGCGGGACTGCCGAGTTGCCAACATACGATGGCGCAGTCCGCCCAAGATCCACACGGCGAGCGGCTCCGCCGTCGCCGGCCCCCAGTTCCCCCCTGAGCTGCAGGAGCACGGCATGCGGGGTGCTGGCTCTGACATCGCAGACTACTTCTTTTGGTTGGCTATGCCTCTTGAGCTGCGGCCATTCTTTGCGCTGCCGCCAGTGCCTGGCCCCCTGCCCCTGGAGCGGGGCGTGCCCGCCCGTCTTGGCGGGATTCCGCGCGTGCTCTCAGAGGTGACGCCTCGCCTTCGCTCGGTGCCCATGGGATGGACCTGGGCGACGCGGTTGGCACAACGCGCTCACATTCACCAAATCTGTCTTGCACTGCCTTGGGCACCCTCGAGGCTCATGGAAGAGGCGGCCCCTGTTCCCGAGTGGCGTGCAGACTTCCCCGTGTTGAACGTGCATTGCGATAACTTGGTGGTTCTAGCGACATCCCCGACCCTGGCTGCGTCTACCCGTGACGCTGTCATCGCCCAGGTTACTAGTTTTCTCGGCCATGAGGTCTTCGGTCCAGTCCGACAGTTTACCGCTCTGGGATATTATATTGCTGGGGAAGCTCTGAAAGTCTGGGTCGATCCGCTACGCAGGGAAAGGATTGCAGCCGCTGCCCGGGCTCTGCCCCGTCGGCCGCGGATCTCAGGGCTTGCGTTGAGTCGATTCATTGGTCATTGTATTGCTGCCCTCCTAATATTTCGCCCCGGGCTCTCGGTATTTGGGCGCATGTACGATTTCGCGGCTAAGCTGGGAGCTGCTCCAGGTCGCCTGCGGGGTGAGGCCGCACAAGAGGCCCGACAAGTGTCCTATCTCATCCAGGTGACGGCATCGGATCTGCGTCTGGAGTGGTCAGGGACGGTCATCGCCACCGATGCTTGCCTCTCGGGCTACGCCGTCGCGGCCTCACGCTGGCCTCAGGACGTTACCAAGAGCTACGGGTCTGTCCGGGAGAAGTGGAGGCATCGCAGTCGATTACCTTCTGCCGTTGCTTCTCGCGCTGCTGCCCCGCCCGCCTTCGCCGACCCTTTCAGCGACGTTAACACCGTTAAGACCATTGTTCAGCCGAAGCCGATCTCGCCGCACGAGCCGAATCCCGATTTCGTCGAGATCGATCCGGGGTACCTTCGGGAGGACGACTGGAAGCTACATTATGCCGCGAGGTTTCGAGGGCGTGATGGTCTTATTTCCGTTCTAGAAGGGGTTGGTATGGCTTCGGGGATTCGACACACGACGATGGGGCATCTATGGCTTTAGGAAAAGGCACCTCCTCCTAGGGGGCAACCTGGGCACTGTCTTGGCCATGGAGAAGGGGCGTTCCTCATCCTTTGCTCTCAACAAGTCATGCCGTAAGACTGCAGCCTTTCCAGTGGCTTTGGGCTCCTGTTACGTATACCGCGGGTTTCCATCAGAAACCAATTTTGCCGACGAGGGCTCCAGGCTCTAGAAGCCGCGAGGGCGGGCTGCGCGCACAGCGTACCCTCCGCCCGGCTCAGGAGCCACCATCTCGCTTGCAGAGTGGCTGGAGCTGGACGAAGAGGACGATGCTCGCCTCTGGGGCCGCCACGAGGCAGGCCCAGGCGGCCCCCCGCGCCTCCCTGGCGGGCCCCTCGGGGGCCAAGGCCGCGGCGGGGCAGGACACCTTCCTCGAGTCCAGCTCCGCGAGTGCCAAGGCGCACAAGGACTACGCGCAGCGCCACGCCGACTTAAGTCGAGGAGCGGGTCTCAGCCAAGCATTTTTCAGGCCAGTTGGAGAAGCAGCCCGACTCCGTCCTCACGGACTTCATCAATCACCTGCGGAAGTCGGGCCACGACGCTTCCGAGGGGACGAAGGTGTTGGTGGCCTACATGCACATCCACCCGGAGCACTCCAAGGCCGGCACGCTGGCCCTCCCGAGGGCGCGCAAGGGGCTGGCGGAGGCTGCAGCCTGGGCGGACTCGGCCTCCCATCCCGCTGCACCTGCTGCCCCTCCTCTGGCTCGAGATGATCGGCACGGGGCACCCGATCATGGCGCTCGCGCTGGTCGCGACGCGGGTCGCGCACCTACGGCCAGCGGAGGCGATGAGGTGGAAGGAGAAGGCCCTCTCGCACCTCGGCCGCCGCCACGTGGAGCCTGCACATGCACGAGGAGATGGACCAGCACCTCTCCAAGGTCAACCTCTTCGAGGAGAGCCTAGTGCTGGACTCGCTCGACCTGCCGTGGCTGGGGGCGCTCCTCGCGGGCCTCCGCAAGGGCCAGCCCGACAGGCTCTTCCTCGATTTCAAGCACTCCCTGCTCGGCCCGACCGTGGCGGCGGCCGCCAAGAGGGCCGGCCTCGACAAGCTCAAGATCTCGCCCTACCACACGAGGCACTCCGGCCCCAGCCACGACATCCTGCACTAGAGGAGGTCGACCCCAAGCGTCAAGGCAAGGGGCCGGTGGTTGTCCGATCGCACAGTGAGAAGGCACGAGGCTCATGGCCGGCTGCTGCAGCAGCAGTCAAAGGTCACAGACGACACGAACAAGAAGGGCACCCTGGCCCTAGACAAGTTGCTGGACGCGTTCCACACCCTTTTGTTCCCACGGGCCGCCGTCTCGCCCAAGGGCGCAGGGCCGTCGCCCCCGCCTGCGCTGGCGCCCCAGCAGAGGCCTGGGACATCGAGCAAGGCGAGGCGGCTAACTTTTTGAGGCCCCAGTCACTCAGTAGAATAGAGAAGGGGATTCTGGATCGCTCCATCTGCCTCGTTTGGTTTGGACTGCCATGTCAGACGTGGTCTAGGGCCAGGCGCTGGGAGGGAAGAGGGCCGGGCCCACTCAGAGATGACGCTGCTCATCTGCATGGCCTGCCCGATCTCTCGCCCCGCGACGGTGAGAAGGTACATCTACATAACTTGCTTGTGCGACAGACTGCTAGAATTTCTCAAGTGGCGGCATCCCGCGGCTGCCCCAGTGCTCTTGAGAATCCACCCACGAGCCGAGTCTGGCTCACAGACGAGGTCAAGGCACTCGCACTGCTGCCTACTGCTAACATGCAGGTAACGGACTTCTGCCAATTTGGCACGCCTTGGAAGAAGGCCACTAAGATCCTTTTTTGTAAACTTGCCACCGTTGGCTCTCCCACGGCGTCGCCCCTCCAGAGGCGCGCGCCCCCGGCCCCGTCAATCTCACGCTATTCTGGAGGGCAAAGACGCCCAAGGTGTTTGGCGCACGGCCAGGGCGCAGCCATATCCTCGCGAACTCTGCGCCTTCTCGCCGACCTCGCGGCACCTGCACGTCGAGGCCCTTCGCGGCAGGCAGAACTGCAGCACCCGCGCCCGCGTGCTTTGTAGCTCGTCGCTGGCTGCATTCTCATTTTGGATTTGGGAGCGTAATGTTCTGCAGGCTTGAGCTCGCCTGTCTTTCACTTCGCATCCATGTGCATCGCCCAAGCCTGCAAAAGCACCTTGCTGTTGATGTGGCAACGGATGTGATATGGCATCGCTCTCATCTCCAGAGCTCGCCCCCAGTTGAGCCCGCCTGCACGCCGCTCTGTCGTTGAGCCCTTTTTGGCTCAGTCCCCCCCCCCCCCCCATCCCGAGTGCAATGTTCCGCAGGCTTGAGCTCGCCTGCCTTTGATTTCGTTTCCACGTGCATCGCCCAAGCCTGCAAAACACGCATCGCAGTTGATGTGGCAACGGATGTAAAATGGCATCGGTCTCCTCCTCCTCCTCCTTCTCCTCCTCCCCCACCTCTTCTTCCCCCTCCGCCCCCGTTTCCGCCTGCTCCGCTTCTTCTTTCTCGGTCTCGGTCGCGGGCGCCCCAGCGGGCCGCGTTTGCGCCAACACCATGGGCAAAGGGCAAGCGCGGCATAGCCCCAGCAAGGGCCCCGGCAGCGGGGCAAGCGCCCTGCGCGCGCGCCCGCTCTACAGGGGCTGGGCCCCGCACCTGCGAAACAGTTTTCGGGGCCCTTGCAGAGCCGCACGTGCCACCCCGCCAATTGGCTGCGCGCAAGTGCGCGGCGCCACTGCGCACGCGGCACCCTCGCCCAGCACCCCCACCTCCCGCCGGTCGAGGGAAGGAGGCAGGCGCCCCGAGGGCGGCGACGAGAGGGAGAGGGGAGACGCCCCGAGGGGGGCGACGGAGAAAGACGCCCCAAGGAGGGCGGCGGAGGACACTCCACCATGACCACGACAGCGACGACAACGACAACGCAGACGGCGACGACAACGGCGAGGGAAGGACGCAATTGCCAACAGAAGGCGGCAAGCGAATTCCCGGCGGCGCCCCGCCCCGGCCGCGGCCTCGCACTGGCCATGGTTCCCGGCGGCGGCCATGCCGCATGCTCCAGGAGCGGCTGGAGTTGATCCTTTTCCTTTCCTTTGTCCTGTTCGTTTTCTTCCCCTTGTCCTTATCCTTTTCCTTTCCTCACCCCCATCACCCTCCTCCTCCTCCTCCACGTGGAGGTCCCCAGGCCACCTTGCGAGCAGGCCAGGCCCATTGTGGTGGCACGCAGCACGGACCATGTCCTTGCTTACTGCGCCAGCCTCGGGCGGCACCGACGCACCCAATGCGGAGTCACGGCCACAACGGGCTCCCCCCTCGAGTCGCTGCAAATTGGCTCTCGTCGCGCATGTCGCCCTTCGCGCGTTTGCCAGAGCTCTCATCGCCGAGCACTTCCGCGCGTTCGGCGAGGGCTGGGTTCTCTGCAGCGACCAGAGGGCCGGCATGGCCCTGGGCGCGGCCTCGGCGCTCGAGGGGAGCTCACAGCCCTCGACCCCCGCAGCCTTGTTGCCACCTGCCCTGGCCGAGGAGGTCGGGGACGCCTTCGCCGCGCTTGGGCGCGACGCGTTCAGGGGCAACAATGTTTACTGTTGCAGACGCTGCGGGTCTCACTGCGCTGCGGAAGATGCCCGCACAGTGCGGAAGCATGGCTCGAGGTGCGATGGGCTCTCGCCCAACGAGTCCACGCGCCGCAACCAGGAAGATGCGGTCAGGCGCGTCGAGAAGGGCCTGGCGCATCGTGCCCGACGCATCCCAGCAGCGCCGCTCCCGCTGGGTGGCTCCTCTCGCAGCCACGCGGCGCGATGATCGACCACGTCGCGATTCGTTGCCGCGCCGTGCTCGGCTGGTGGCGCGGCGTCTTCTTCGGCGGCGACGCCTTCTTCGTCGGCGGCAAGTTGGCCTGCGTCCACGGCCTTGAGGGCAACTTCTCCCAGCTGCTCTCTTTCTACATTGCCTCCTGCTCTCACGGCACCGCGCCGTGAGTAGGCGGCGCCAGGGGGCAGTCCGTCGCGCGCCCGCGTGCACGGCGGGGGACTTTCCTGAAGCGCTGCGCCCCTTCCTCCTCCTCGTGCCCCAGGGCCCTCGGGTCCGAGGAGGGCCCCGGGGCGGGCCGCGCGCGCCGCGGGCCGCGCCGCGCGCGCCCACGCCAGCGCCCGCCGCCGCGGGCCGGGCCCTCAGTCCTTCCGCCCCGGGGCAGGGGCCCGCCGCCGCCACCGGCGCCGCCACGCCGCCGCTCCCGGCCGCCGCCTCCGCCACCTTCTTCCGCCGCTCCTCCTCGGCGCTCCTCCTCGGCGCGTCTCCTCCTTGGCCTCGCCGCTCCTCCTCGGCGCGCCTCCTCGGCGCCCCTTCCCCTCCTCGTGCTAGTGTTGTCCTCGTGCTAGTGCTGTCCTCGCGCTAGCGCTGTCCTCGTGCTAGTGCTGCCCTCGTGCTGTCCTCGTGCTGTCCTCGTGCCTGCGCTGTCCTCGCGCTGTCCTCGTGCGTCGTGCTGGGCCGCCGGTTCCAGGCCCAGGGGCGTGAGCCACCAGACCCCTGCGTTAGGCGCGCTGGCTGGCCCGACGACCACCTCAGGCAGCGCTGATGAGCGCGCGCGCGCGCGCCACCTCCCGGACCACGCAGGTGGCAATGGACCGGTGGAGAGTGCTGAGAGCCCCCTGTCGCCCAGGGCCCTCGATCAGGCACTTGCTGCGCGAGCCGTTTCCGGGTGGACTCGCCCATGGCTCCCGAGACTTCGAAACCAAGGGGCTTGAAACCAGCGACTCCGTTGTATTTGCGGCGCTTTGCCTGTTCGGCCAGTCTCGCAGCGGCGCCTTGGGCGTGGGCCCCTCCGGCCTGCAGGCTCTGCTGCGAGGCGGGATGCACGATCGTTAGGTCAAGATAAGCCCACTGGCCGTCACTGTCGGCGCACCTGAGGTCCGCGCGGAGACCCGGATTGCCCGGCCCGGTGGGCGGGCGAATCCATGGTTCGACTGCGATGTCGCAAATGCCGGCTTCACGTAGGGCTCGCGCGATGGTGTCGCGCAGGTTGTTGCGCCTCTTAACCATGAAGCCGCCATAGGAGCAGCAAAACGCGCGGCGTCCGTTCGTGTCGACGGTGCCGGCGCAGAGGGTTCCGCCCTCCTTTCTGAAGGGACAGGGGCCGTCAGCTGCGCGTACGAGACCTCCGAGTCTGTGTCTCACGGCCATCCTGAAGTGGGCGTCAGCGAGGTGGTGGTCGGGCCGCGTAGGCGGCCCGAGCCACGCGCCTGCCCCCTTGCCTGTCGTGCTAAGAGCCCCGGCCCGTTGTTGCGGTTCCGTCTGAGTGCGTCGTAGCCACTGCGTCCACTCTGCGTGCCGCCTGTGCCTGGTAAAGCGCCGCTGGGTGGTGTCGGGCGGCTCCGCGTCGGGCGCCTGCTGCGCTGCCTCTTCCTGCGTCAGCGCGTTGACAGTGCACTGGAGGCGGTGGAGCGCCGGTCTCAAGCCCGGGCAATACTGGAGAAGGTCATCTCTGTCGCGGATGCCCAGTCGCTGGAGCACTGGCTTCTCGCAGAGTGCCCACGAGGCCGCCTGAGCACCCAGGCGCACTGCGCTCACGCTCTGGAATCCCCAGCCGCCCAAAGCGACAGGGTGCCAGTAGTTCCCTGTCTGCTCCGCTGTGAGGTCGTGCGTTTGCACTAGCTCCTCCAGTGCGCCGAGTAGGTCGGCGTCGAGCTGGGTCGCTGTTTGGGCGGGAACCCCGGTGGCACGCATGTGCCACGCCATGTCTCCTGCAGTGAGGGGTCGTAGTAGTACCAAAGACGTCTGAACGTCTAGGCAGGCTTTGTGAAGGTCCATGAGTCTGGCCATGGCAGTCGTCTTCCTGGTTTGGTGAGGCGGGTGAGTGCAGGCTGCCCTCCTCGGCGCGCTGGTCGGCGGTTACTGGCGTCGGTGCCAGGCCAGAGTAGTCGTCGGCGTGTTGTCGTAAGATCGTGGGCTGCTCTACGCGCGGCACGGGCAGGCCCGCTGGCATCGCGGCAGGATCCCTCGCCCACACCTCACCTTTGTCGACGCGTGTTTGGAGGCCGGCTTGGCTCAGTGCGTTGGTGTAGGCTGCGCATATGGTGGGCAGGTCTTCTGGCTTCGCAAGGATGGCGAGGTCGTCGATGTAGCCGAAAAGCTCGTGCTGT